TGATGCCTTGGACCCGAACTATCGGCGGAGCTCCACTTCTCCAGCCGCTCAGCTCGCCATCCGGCCACGCCCCCCAACTATCAATTTTTTTTTTTTTTAAGTTGATGGCCGCAACATGAAAAAAACGCAAAAAGCTGGCACAGAAAATAGTATGAACAAGGAAGAGCTGGAAGAACATTTTGCAACCAGATTAGTTGTCAACAGGTCCTTTACATCATTGTGTATAAAAAAATTATCTTAAAGAGTCCGTTTCTCGGAAGTAAAGAAGGGCAGTGGTTCACCAATCCGTGAAAAGCTCACTTTGAAATTTGTTGAGCAATTTCAGAATAGTGGTCCTCGACGTAAAATTGCGAAGACTTAAAATATCGATTTTAATAGTGGCATAGGAAACCAGTAGTGGAAGCCCCATAGTCTGGCATGACTTTACGGATGTCACATCCATTACGATCTATAGTAATAATTTCAGCAAGTTGATTGTAAAAGGTTTAAGATCTTTCCATGATTGTTTTTAGGGGTAACAGCATTGTTTTCAAATGGTGATAGTGACAATGCATTTTTGTGTTTTTGGTTATATTTTGTAGAAATTAAATTTATTGATCTAAAATCTGCAGTTGTTCCTATGTAGCATCTTTTGGGTTCTATTTTAGGTCTTGAGTGTTTAGACACTTGTAATAGCGCTAATCTGCTATTGTCACACTAACCAATTTTAGATGTTGAACTGGTGTTGGTGTTAACTGGTGCATTTAGTATGTCCAATGAGATTTTAAATGTATAATATTTTGTATCATATTTTGACTCTCCGACCCACCTTACTAGCTGTACTTTGAGCTGATCCCCTCAGATCATCTCACTTCTTTTTCTTGGGAAAATAGATGATCACGTGTCCAGACTCCAGGATAGTGTATTATTGTATAGTGTGGCACAGCTGTATCCAATTCTGCATACCTGGCTTTATATTATAAAGTTCTTATAATATAAAGCCAGGTATGCAGAATGGGATATAGCTGTGCCACGCTACAGAGTGTTCATATTCTTCATAATAATAAGAAACTGACCTAAAATCATGATTTTGTATTGCTTTAGAAAAAATTTGACCTGTCCCTTTAAGAAAAAGTATCGGTACTCGGCCTTAAAGTGGTATCGGTGCATCCCTAGTCACACATAGCAATCACTGGCCATGAATCTTCAGCTGGTATTCCCTTTACTCTCACCATGCATTTGTGAGAAACAGAGCCGGCTGCAAACCACTGAACGGTTTACGTTTGTGATGCAGCTATCTCGTGGTACTGAACCACTCTGGCTCTATATCTTATACCTGCTGTAACCTAGCCCCAAATTTGTACGTAGTGGCACATTTTATATCCGTGTGGGTGTTTCCTCTTGTTTACCTGTCTGGTTAGGGGGATTTTGAGTTCCTGTTTGCGGAATGTTAGTATATTTCTGAGGTCACAAGACAGCCATCTCTTGTTACTGATCCTTTTAACCTTTTGTGTTGCTGTGGAACTATTCCATGTGTGTTTCTGTGAGAAATAGAGGCATACACATGTATATAATATAAAAAAAAAACAATTGTGTCTTTTACTGCAGATGCTTTTTGACTATGAAGTAGACAGTGATGAAGAATGGGAGGAGGATGAACCCGGCGAATCTTTGTCTCATAGTGAAGGGGTAAGCACATGTTTTTTCTTTTTTTTAAATGCCTTTTAACTATTAACAAAAATATAGCTTTTTTTTGTGTATCACTCGGCTGTAGATACTCAAATCTCATCAGGTAGCAGGTTGACAATATTGTTGCGATCTTTCCCAGTTGTAGCGCGGCTTTGCATTGTCAGCATATAGCAAGCAATGGCTATATGCTGAGTTTTGGGTCACACCAGGACATTATTTAATGTCCTGCTGTGACCCTAAAGAGAATGGCTACAATAGGTTTGGCCATAGTTCTTCTTTTTTTTTTTTTTTTTTTTTTTTAAAGCTAACAAATTATGGAGAATGCCAATAGAAGTGCCTGCATATATCTTTAGCTATGTTCTAGAACATTTGTCCCTGGCAAGCAACCCGCCTCAGCTCAATGCTGGGTCTGCTTTACTTCCAGCTTCAGTCCCAGTTAATTGTAGCTCTGTCTGGTCTCTGCAAAATTCAGGCATTACCAGCTGGCAATGGCCTCTGATATTGGAGTAGGCCCAGCAGCAGAATCAATTATCTCTTGGATTTGTATTTCTGCTACGAAGTTACCCATGACAACGTTGCATAGGCATCACAGTGCAACACAATGTTTTTGCATTGCATTTTGTAACAACCTTTTCAATCATGAGAATTTAAAAAAAAAAATGCCACATGTTAATCTGCATTTTTACTAGAAAACTACTTAACACCGTGAAGCAAGTATATAAGTTTTCTAAGCTGAGGCCTTGTAGAATGTTTGCTGTTCTAATAGTTTGTTGCAAGGTATTTGCTTAACTGTTTATCAAATCTGTTTTCAGGAATCTGTAAACTAAACTTATTTTTCATGCACACAGTATAATACCCAATTTTTGGTAAATGGCTGACCATCCTTAAAATTGCGTGCACCCATGAACTTGTAAAAATGACAATGCACAATATTGTCTATAGGCCACATTTTAGAACCTTTGCAGGCCATACATTTTAGAGCCATCAGCAAGAGATGGCCCTAGAATTACTGCTAGCACCCCCCCACCCCAACCCACAATGTTTGCGTATATAGGTTACATTTTTAATTTTTAGCAGTTTTTAAAAAATGAATGTTTTCTCTTTTGACCATTTTTAAGGACACAGCGAAGATCTTTGATCTCGACCATGGACTTATAGCAACTAGGGAAACTCAGTTTTTTTGCCTAGTGTCGACGAAAGACCTTGGCTCCCTGCAGGAAATCTTGGTCCCCTTTCTTTTTTGCAAGGAATGCTTACTTTTATTTTTTCTTACTTTCCCTTCAATTAGCAGCTGAGCTCGGTGAGAATATCTTTTGTAGTCCCCCAGCTCAGCCTCTTGAGCGCATGCAGATCCTTAGCTACTGCAGGTTCGGTTGTGGCAGCTCAATCCTAGCTGCCTGTGATTTGTTTCTTACGGGAGACACATATGACAGTAACTTTTTGCTCTGTCTGTGTCCTCCCCAGGCAGACAGCACCCCACTGCGAAGAGAGGCATTCTGTTTTGGGAGATGGTACCCTCTGCACATCTCTGGCTAGTAAGTGCTTTAATCTTTCTTCCCGCCCCCCCCCTTTGCTATGGGTCAGTGACTGGAGTGGTCAGGGGTACCTCCTTCTCCCAATTACCCTGTGTTGTGTGAGTTCAATGGCAACTTATCTGCTGGGCACTCTCTAGAGCTTTATTAGCCTCCTAATTTTTTTGGGGGGGCTTTACATTGTGGTCGCAGCAGCATGCAGCCATTTGGGTACTGGTGTCAGTAGTGGCATGCAGCTATAGCTGTTTGTGGCTTCACTTGGAAGGGCTTGGTGGCTGCAAATGCATGCAGCAACTCTGGAAACTGGTGATTTATTTCTCCTATGGCTGCACTGGGATTTTTGGCAGTCTCTGCTGCTGCGGCCACCCTGGGAGCTCTGGCAACCTCTGCTTCTGCGGCTGCCCTGGAAGTCGCTGCTCCATGGGGCCACTCTAGGCGTCCTGATGGCCATCTTTGCTTCTTGTGCCAGTAAATAACATCACTGTCACCCGGTTTAAGTGCACTGAGGCTGGGGCAATGGTTGTCTCCATGCATGGCCTGTTGCTGTACATAAGGAAATGATGTGGCAGCTGTCATTCGTCCTCCTGATGCACTGGAATAGATTCAGCATTTGGAGTATAGTTTTTTTTTTTCTCTTAGCTACAGTTTTCCTTGGGAGTTTGTTCCTAAGTCACCTCCTGTCGCTACGCTCTCTGGTACAGGAGCCATCCAATTGAGAAGGTAAAGGGAGTTCTGGGCCTTATGGTATTTGCTTTCAAGGCAGTACCATTTTGCTCTTTTCCTTTCTGGACACAGATGACACATTATGCTGAACTGTCCTTGCAGTCAGCATCTACAATCTATAAGAGAAGTGTGGTCAGAAGTGGTCTTTAAGAATGCCTTGCAGCCAAATAGCCATACTTCTGACATGTATATGAGGTGAAGCAGCTTGCCTATACATGAAAATATAAGTATCGGTGTGCAGAAAATGGCAGCATGTGTTATGAACTGTTAAGTCCTGAATTAAAATATTTGCTTGTAACGGAAAGCAGTGGCATTTGAATGGAGGTTACATTTCTGCAAGCAGCACTTAAGCGTGGTAGTTTCCTTGCAGGTTTTGGAATTTAGTAAGACTGATTAGTCTCCTAAATGCTGAAATGTAAGGCAGATACCTATTAATCATGCATTATCAGGTGAGCATCCTGCCCAAAATTCATAGGCAGAAGGCCAATAACCCCAGGCATACAGCTAAAGTCATAGAGCTATCTTCAGAGAAAACAAGAGTCCTGGAAGAGACCGTATGGCGCCACAGATCCCTGATCTCAACGTCAAGTTGTGTTCAGTTATCCTAGGTGCTCAGTGCAACCTACCTGTGAGTTCTTTAAATAAAAAATAAAAAAAAATCTGTGCAAGTGTATATAGAATTGATGTTTTAAAGGCAACAGGTTCATGCACTAAATATTGGTTAATAGGTAATAAAAACTATTAATTACCTTGCTTTTGAAAGCATACTCGGTTTCCTGCATTTTATCGTAAGTGCCTAAAACTTTTGCACAGTACTTTTCGTCTAATTACATTCTAAACTGTAGGATTTGTCTAATTGTATTAGTAGATTTAAGAATAAAAATTGCTGAATTTGATAATTTCATCTTTCTAAAATAGTGAATACAATTTTAAACTTTCTAAAATCTTTTTCAAACAGAAATGATATATGCTTTTATGTTTGATAGCCTTTAGAAGCAATAACGGCTTTATCTTTCTGACATAAAATGTGCTATATTTTTTTTCTACTTTATAAGTTCTTGTGGTGAAATATGATTTCAGCACTTAAAGTACTTTCTAGCACTTGCCTATAGGTTCTATAAATTGTTTCTTGGTCTTTTCAATAAGAACAGTTTTTATTGGTTAGAAACTGAAAATTTTAATTTACTAATACTTTTCCATTGGAATGTTTTACATTTATTTGTGCAACCCCAAAGATTTACCCCCAAATATAACCAAGAAAGTTTGCTGATTAAAATGTCAGATTAATTTAATTAAAAGGAATAGTTAAGTTCATAGTTAACTTACAAGTATGGCTTTGGAGAAGCCCTATTCCTTTGTATGCTACATTGCAACACACATAAAAAAAATTATACCAATTTGCTTGATAAAAGTTCCCATATGTTGCCATAATTAGATCAGGGTAGAATGGTGAAGGCACAATTTAGCCCAACTGCACCTTTCGTGGGTTTGCAATTGCTAATAGAATTACAAATGTCTCAGATGTCGCCCTTTGTGAAAGATCTACCTCCTGAGACCTACACTTTATGGACATTATTGGCAAATTGTTGCTGTAACTAGATCTACAGGCAGTATCAAATCCCCAAGAAGACTTGGACGTGAAATCCACTGTGGCTTGTTTCACAATGGTGCATTAACCCCTTCATGACAGCTTGTTTTTAGTTTCTGTTCATAAATGCCTGACACACTTTTGACATTTTTGCTGTGTGATCTACCACATCAGTAATATACTTTAAAAAACAATATATAATATGTGTGGGCACACTTTGTAATAGAGGATAGGTACACACATGTGACATATATAGCCCTAACACCTCACTTAGGACAAATGAAATGGGGAAAAAAAGAGCAAAAAACTAAACACTTGTTCCCCAGTTTTGATTTGTAGTATTTTTTTTAGAAAAATAGCACCGCTCAAAAAAATGCATTAAATACATGCATTAATTTGTCTTTATTTGGAAAAAACTCACATTCCTAGGATTTAGATATTTTTCTGTACTTCTCAGCGAAAAAAAGATTACATTGTTAAGTTTTAGGTTAAGTGGTCACCTGGCATACAATGTCACCAAGTGTCACACTTGGTGATAGCGACATACTTTAAGCATCACTGTCATAGGGTATTAAATTTTTTTTAAAGAAAATTAACCCCTAATTTTCCGTCTAGTGGGTTTGTTTTTAATTGCTGACCGTATAAACATATATTTAAATATATCATTTTTAGTTGTTACATTTATTTTTTTCATTATATCAAGCAGTCATTGAGAATTAATCTCACTATTACTGCTTGATAATTTAATTAATTTTTGGTTATTAGGCTGCTTCAAACGTAAGGAACAGCCAATAACCTTAGTGACACTGATCCTGCAACATTTCAGGATCAGAATGTCACTAAAGGTTTTCTGATTGTTCCAACAATGATCAGAATCCTGTATCTAAATGTTTTTATTGCTGAAAGTTTAGGGGGGAAAAGCAGGTATACATGTGGGATTTCCCGATCTATACCAGCTGTTAGTGACGGTTAGAGCTGCAATTGCGGCTCTGAAAAATCTTTCATTAATGGATGCTTCAATACTGAGGCATCCATTAACCCTTTCGCTGACAAGCCCTTGAACAGTTTGCACTTCCAGCTGGCCACACAATTTTTTTGCATTTTTCCCATTTTATTTTTAACTGCTGCGTTGCTAGCGTTTGTAAAAAGTCCCCCGA